CACGCGTCACGGGCAGAGATCGTAAAAAAAAGATGACGTTAGACTGTTGAAATTTCATGGACGCGTGACGAGTGTTCGAAAGTTGCATATTCATATACGGATAGGGCTTAAATATTGCCACGAGATGTCGATGCGTTCGTCCCTCGTTCCATCGAAAATACACTTACACGCGCGCACGACCATCACAATGATGAAATAACGTTTCCGTGCAACTACGTACAAGTTCGGCCATGGGTCGCCTCTGGCTGGCATACTTTTCGTGCTAGGAACCAGCCTACGTGCTGCATGCCAACCTGCTCCCCCGATGCGTTAATTAACTTTGCAACATATCGTGAAATCCGTCGACGAGAATGTCCAGCCTTTTTTCTCTTTCTTTCTTTCTTTCTTTCTTTCTTTCTTTCTTTTCTTTGTTTTGTTTTTTTATTTCTCGTATACCCGAGCTTCTTCTCCTTAGTTTCTTTCTTTCCTACGATTTCCTAGCACGCGTTTGAATAGAGTAAGTAAGAGCCGTTGTGCTTGCCTCTCGCGTCAATTTGCCAATTCATACACGGAATATTATTAACGGCCTCGGTCGAATTTACGATCCCTACCTGTCCCACATGCCAACCGTTAATAATTTAAAACTGGAATTTTTTAAAATTTGGTGTTTTTTTTTTTTTTTTTTCTTTTTTACATCGCGTTCAACTCCACCTTATCGTCCATTTCCCAGGAAAAAATGGTTATGTATAAGAATTTGGAATTTTTTCCGAGAAAAAAAAATTTATCGATTTTCCAACGGGAATAATAATATATTTGACGTACGCGTTTTCTTTCTCTCTCTCTCTTTCTCGTACGAATCAATGTCTCCGACATTCTTCGAATCGTAGGATATTTGTAAAAAAAAAAAAAAAAGAAAAATTATAAATACACGTTAAATACGTATACACGACTATTTATCTTATGGCCATTAATAATTCAAACCGACTTAGTAAACCTGTTTACTTGGAAATTATTTGCCATTGCGTGTACGTATCTGTGTGTGTGTGTTAACCGGTACAGTTGTAATATCGGATTGATCGAAAGTTGGACGAGGTATTTAACAATTTTTAAGCGTTGTTTCTACGATAGCCGAGGTAGGATTCCTCGAGGAATCGTAAATTGCTGAAAATAATTCGAAGGTCACTTGCAAATAGAGCGTCGAATAACGTACCCGTGTTACATGCATACGCTGCAATACCGCTATACGTTAAACGTATTATCGTTAGCTCTCTCTCTCATTCTTACCCTTAACCCGTCCGTCTCACGTCCGATCACCACGTTCTCGACTCTCCGTTGTTCAAATCTGGGAAGGGATCAAATCGATTTCCCTCCCCCTCCCTTTTTTCTCTTTCGTGAAATTCGAGGATAATTTCAATTCGAGGCGCGTATCCACGAGAAATTGGTGGTCGACGGCACGGTGGACGATAAGAAAGGAGAGGGACGAGGCACGGGCCGATCCGCTGTCGGTTATCAGCTCGTTATCGGTGCTGCGTCAACTTATGAATGGGCGGGATCGTGACAGCTCGTGCATGTATACACATACGTATATACGATTTCGGTCTCTTTCAATAGCTCCGACCGAGTATTTCGAGAGAGCGAAGAATTAATTACGAGGCGTATAAAAGAGGCATCGACCCTTTATTATCTCCGTACCGTTTCCCATCGTCTGTTTTTTCCAACGGAGCGTGGATTATCTCGTGTAACGTATCGTGTAACGAAGAAAATCAAATATGCGCCACTCCGAAATCACGCAGTTGAAAACGCAGTCTTGTTTTTTTATCGCGTTTCATTTTTCGAGATGATTTTTTTCTTTTTCTTTTTTTTCTTTATCGCTCCACCTTATCGTCCATTTCCCCGGAAGAAACGGTTACGTACAAGAATTTGGAATTTTTTTCGAGGAAAAAAAAGAATTTATCGATTTTCCAAATAATAATATATTTCGATTCGTCTAATTAGTCGATTAATCGATTAATTGTCGCGTAATGGATATAGATATTTCATTGAGAGAAAATTGATATTTAAAAAAAAAGAAAAGAAAAGAAAAGAAAAGAAAAAAGAAAGAAAGGAATAGGAATATCGAATGGATAATAAAAGATTGGGGAAAAGAAAAATTTCAAATTTTTCATCGGAAGGTTAAATACGTAACGAAACGATGATGCAATTATTCTGGGATAAAAATAAAAATAAAAATCGATCGGCCGTGTATAGAAATACATAACTCGCATTTATCGTAATTTGTTTCGCAACGGAGATCGGCCCCAATTTTCCCCAATTAATCGTCTTCATTCATTGAAATTTCTCCAATGGGACGATTTATTGATGGCCTGCAACAGGGAGAATAAAGCGTGTAAATTAAGTTCCACGCAGAATTGATTCGATAATAAACTATTTCACCATTTTAATTTCGATGAAATCAAAAAGAAAAAAAGAAAAAAAAAAAATATGCGTCATTAGTTACGATTTTCGAGTTTTATTTTATTTGAAACGAAATTGCGTCGTCCTCTCGTACATATGTACATATATATACATATATATATAGATAAGAAACGATGTTATTCGAGATTAGTTTCCAAATAAACGTGTTGATCACGTTGTTTTATCTTCCTTCTCAATGAAGTTTCGAACACTTATCTTTATCCTCTTCTTTAGATTATGAATGAACGAAAAAAACAAAAAAGAAAAGAAAAAGAAAAAGAAAAAGAGAAACGGTTCTCCTTCGATTTTCTCAAATCGAATGAATCGTTCAACGTCCATCCACACAACTTAACATCCACATTTCTTTAACTCCTACCCTACGTATAGAAATAGAAATGAATGGATCCCTCACCCATTTAACGATATATATAAATTTAATCAATAGCTCGCCAACAGTTTTATTATTCGAATATCATCTTTTCCGCAAGTAATGTGGAATTTCCCTGGCAACCAGACCGAAACGATCAATTTCTCTTCGCTGGAATTACCCCTCTCTCGACTCAAAGAGGAGGAGGAGGAGGAGGGGAAAAAAAGAAAAAGAAATATTTCGTAAAGAATCGTCAACGTCTCGTTTAATCTCTCTCTCTCTCTCTCTCTCTCGTAAGAGAGAGACGAGAAGATATAAATTCGAATTTTCGGGCATGATGTAGAGACACGATGTAGAATACGATGGCCTCGCTATCGAGGGAGGTCTCCTCGATTTTGGTGCAAAAAACGCGTTCCAAGCTCGACGGTGGTGCAACGTAATTACACGTGTCACGTAAATAAACATAAACGAACCGTGGAAGAGCGCGGCAACTATGTATACGCCTTCTCTCGATATCTTGCATACACATGTAGCAAAACTATACATTTTATCGAACCACGTGTTCCAGCTGTTTTAACGAATCCGTGAGGGGGAAAAATGCGTTTCGTCACTTTGATCTTTCTTTCTCTTTCTCTTTCTCTCTCTCTCTCTCTTCCCTTTCGTCGCCTCTTCAGAGATTCTGAGAATTCCAAAAAATTTTGCCGCGCACTATGACAACTCGCATAATTTCTCTCTCTCTCTCTCTCTGTCTCTCTCTCTCTCTGTTTTTATTTTTATTATCCCTGCTCGGTTCGAAAGCGAACCAGAAATTTCTACAACAACGCATTTATTGCTGTCTCAAGATCCACCTACGCGCAACGATGCACGAGCCAGCTCCATGGTTGCAGTTTTAAAGAGCTGTCCCGCTGGTAGATAAAATGGCCGGTCATGATTTATGCCAGCAACTTTATGAAGAACGTATGACCAATACGTCTGCCGCGGATGTAACCGTTGGACGAGATCGTGAGAATGATCGATCTCTCCTTTCGTGTTGTTTATCGTGGGTGGAGGGTTTGTAAAATTATCAGGACAGAGGGGGGAGTGTTTGCGTGGAATCCCTTTCACCGCTTATCAATTTAAATTTCGCGACTCTCCCTTCGTTCTCTTTTCTTTCCTTTTTCTTTTCGCGAAAACTGTTTATCAACGACTCGTCCAGATGTTCGACACAAGTCTCTCTCACGTAATTTTTGCTCGAATCGTCATTATCGTGGCCACGTTCGTTAATTATTTCTTAATTTCGGCCTCCATTACGCATCTCGGACGCGTGAAACGGTGAATTCAATTTGAATTTTCGCGCCAAACGCGTTAACGGATGAACGACGTTCGCTTCGAAGTCGATTCGACAACAGATTCTTTTAAGCGAAACTCAATCGTGTTTAAATCGTATTCTCTCGAATTTGATAGATCACATCTTCTACGAGAAATTCTACGAGAGTTTCGAACATCAACTTCGTTTCTTTCTTCTTTTTCCTCTTCGAGCAATCATCGATAAAGTGGAACGCGATAAAGCGACCGATCCGCGCGTGCAAATGTAATATTTTTCTCTCGAAACCGGATGTTCGTAAATCGGATTCTTCGACTCGTGAAAGAGAAGTAGCATTTCTATATATAATATTATATATAAAAATTATTAATTATATGTAATTATATATATATATAATTATATATAAATAATATATATTATATAAACATATATTAATTAATATATAAAAATTATAATTATACATAAAAATATTGAATCTGTATATCTAATTTAGCGTCGCCAATTAATTGCCATTTCCCCTCCGTTTCCTATGTACATATACAGAATGGAAAGGAATGGAAAGAGATCGATATTCGCCTCCTCTTTTACCTTACTTTTCTTTCATCACAATTCCAAAGAACTACAACTAAAACGGTGTATCCCGGTTGTCGCGGACGAACACAATGGACTATAAATAGATTCGAAGACGGTTCGTTTAAGGGTTAAGTGGTCGATTAAGTGACACACGCCTTCGATGACGACTATCCGCAATGACAATCCGTTGAAAGGAACGAATATAATAATAATAATAATATAATAATAATAATAATAATAATAATAATCACCCCCCGAGATTAATTTCCCCTCTCGTGCGTACGTACGTGCACATGTACATCCTGTTCGTTCGATTGATTGCAGGCGTTCAACTGGCGGAGCTATGAGGGGCGGGAAGTTCTTCATCTTCAACAAGAAACTTCTCTGAGCGTGGTTCTTTCGTTCGCCGTCTGAAGAAGAAGCTGTGAGGGAGAAGAGGAAGAAGAGGGAGAAGGAGAAGGAGAAAAAAAAAAAGAAAGGGAAAATACCTCCTCCCCCCTCCCTCCCCCAAGAAAAAGAAACGCATAAGGAGAAGGAGTGGGCGTTTCCTTCTCTCGCGAAAATTCATTTTTTTAATTCGTCTAATTCGAAACGGGGAAACGGGGAAGGATCGCAAATAAAGATCTTGGAAGTGGAAGAACTGTGGAAGATCAAGGATTGCGGTCTATCCGCAACGCGGCGAGCAGCAGGAAGAGGAGAATACGCGAACGAGGTCGTTCGGCAGTCATTAAAGGCGGATTGGCCGTGACCGCAGTTCATCCTTCTTCTGTTTTACCGTTTTCTTTTTGCATAAGAAGACGAAAAGTCGAGATAATAAATCCCAGCGAAATTTATTCATATTTTTCGCTCGAGGTGGACCGATTTTCTTCCCTTCTTTTCTTCTTCTTTTTTCCTTGCGAAATAATCGTATTCATGTGCGGAGGGGAGACGGTGGAGAGGCGGAAAGGTCTGGTTTGAATCGGATATACCACCCACTCTCTCACTCTCTCTCTCTCTCTCTCTCTTTCTCTCACACACTCTCTCTCTCTGTTCTCGAATCGAATCGAATCGAATGATCGATCCTCCTCGGTCGGGAGAGATCGAGGCAGGGGAGAAAAGGGTGGTTTGAACGGGCGACGACGTAACGCGACGAAGAGGTGTCGTCGTGGCACGTGGCGATCGATCGATCGATCGATCGGGCGAAGGTGGAGGGGGAGGACGAAGGGAGAGGCGACAGGAGGAGGAGGAGGAGGAGGAGGAGGAGCAGGAAGGAAGGTAATTCGGGGAAGGTTTGACGATCTCGCCCCGTTCCTCGACCAAGGGCAGCGCCGCCGTGTTGTTGGCCGTGGCGAGAGGATGGGGGGGACGAGGTGGCGGCGGTGGTCGCCGGTGATGTTGCTGCTGTGCGCCGCTGTGTCGCTGGCCGCTTGCCAATTCGATGCAACTTGGAACACCGGCGCTCCCGCTCTCGACGATGATTACGACGAGATTAGGAGAGGATACGTGGCCGATTACGGGATCGAGGAGGCCGTCCTCGGGAATGGACACCACCGCAAAAGGGACGATCCCCGGGACCCGTTCTACGAGAGAATCGGTTCCTACAGACGCAACAGGGCGATTGATTCCAGGTACTCGGTGAGGAGAAGCGCGTATCGCTTCGCCTCCGCCCATTTTTCCCATTCGACAACCCCGGTTTTCGGGTGAACGAACGATACTAGAAAGTTTCTTTCCTTGGATTCTTCGTTTTTACGCTCGGTGAAAAAAAATGCAGGAACGAATAGATGGCTAAATTTTTTTTTTAAAAGCGATCGAAAGTGTCCAAGTAGAAATTTTCTCTCCTAGGATTCTTCGTTTTTATGTTTGCGAAAAAGGATGCACGAACGATCGAATGGGCGGCCAAACTTTTTTTAAAAGCGGACGAAGAAGCCATGAAAATTTTCTTTCCTTGGATTCTTCGTTTTTACGCTCGCTGAAAAGAATGCAGGAACGAATAGGCGGCTAAATTTTTTTTAAAAGCAGAAGAACTCGTTGGACGAACGAGCAATCGAAAGTGTCCAAGTAGAAATTTTCCCTCCTAGGATTCTTCGAACGATCGGATGGGCGGCCAAATTTTTTTAAAAACAAAGGATCCAAGTAGAAAAATGTCCAAGTAAAAATGTTCTCTCCTTGGGATCAAATTTTTTTAAAAGCGAACTTATTCGACAATCGTTTTCGAGTGAACGAACGATAATCTTCAAGTAGAAATATTCTCTACGATTCTTTCTTTTTACATTCGCGGAAAGGGATGAACGATCGGATGGGCGGTCAAATTTTTTTTAAAAGCGGACAAACAACTCGTTGGATAATCATTTTCGGGTGAACGAACGAGCGATCGAAACTGTTCAAATAGAAATTTTTCCTCTTAGGATTCTTCGAACGATCGGATGGGCGGTAAAATTTTTTTTAAAAACAAAGGATCCATTGGACAATTCTTTTGGGGTGAACGAGCGAGCGAAAGAAAGGGATGCACGAGCAATCGGACAATCATTTTTGGATGAACGAGCGATCGAAAGTGTCCAAGTAGAAATTTTCCCTCCTAAGATTCTTTGTTTTTACGTTTACTGAAAGAATGCACGATTGGATGGTCAAATTTTTTTAAAAGCGAAGGATCCATTCGACAATCATTTTTTCTCTTCTAGGACTCTTCGTTTTTTAAATCCGCTGAAAAGGGACGCACGAACGATCGAACAGGCTATTAAATTTTTTTAAAAGCGAGGAATCCATTGGACAATAATTTTTTCCCTCCTAGGATTCTTCGTTTTCATATCCGCTGAAAAGGGACGCACGAAGGATCGAATGAGTGGTAAAATTTTTTTAAAAGCGAAGGATCCATTGGACAATCGTTTTCAGGTGAAGAAACGAGCAATCGAAACTGTGCAAATACAAATTTTCCCTCCTAGAATTCTTCGAACGAATTTCGAGCGATCGAAACTGTCCAAATAGAAATTTTCCCTCCTAGGAACGAATTTTCTCTTCTTCGAACGATCGGTTGGGCTATTAAATTTTTTTAAAAGCGAAGGATCCATTGGACAATCATTTTTTCCCTCCTAGGATTTTTCGGTTTCATATCCGCTGAAAAGGGACGCACGAACGATCGAATGGGTGGTAAAATTTTTTTAAAAGCGAAGGATCCATTCGACAATCGTTTTTGGGTGAAGGAACGAGCGATCAAAAGTGTCCAAGTAAAAATTTTCCTTCTTAGGATTCTTCGAACGATCGGTTGGGCTATTAAATTTTTTTAAAAGCGAAGGATCCATTGGATAATCATTTTTTCCATTCTAAGATTCTTTGTTTTTACGTTTACTGAAAGGATGACCGATCGGATGGTCAATTTTTTTTAAAGCGAAGGATCCATTTGACAATCATTTTTGGGTGAACGAACGAGCGATCGAAAGTGTCCAAGTAAAAATTTTCCTTCTTAGGATTCTTCGAACGATCGGATGGACGATAAAATTTTTTTAAAAGCGATCGAAACTGTCCAAATAGAAATTTTCCCTCCTAGAATTCTTCGAACGAGTTTCGAGCGATCGAAACTGTCCAAATAGAAATTTTCCCTCCTAGGAACGAATTTTCCCTTCTTCGAACGGATGAGCTATTAAATTTTTTTAAAAGCGAAGGATCCATTCGACAATCATTTTTTCCCTCCTAGGATTCTTCGTTTTCATATCCGCTGAAAAGGGACGATCGAATGTGCATTTAAAATTCTTTTAAAAACGGACGAAGGATCCATTGGACAATCGTTTTTGGGTGAAGAATCTGAGCGATCGAAACTGTCCAAATAGAAATTTTCCCTCCTAAAATTCTTCGAACGAGTTTCGAGCGATTGAAACTGTCCAAATAGAAATTTTCCCTCCTAGAATTTTCCCTTCTTCGAACGGATGAGCTATTAAATTTTTTTAAAAGCGAAGGATCCATTCGACAATCATTTTTTCCCTCCTAGGATTCTTCGTTTTCATATCCGCTGAAAAGGACGCACGGACGATCGAATGTGCATTTAAAATTCTTTTAAAAACGGACGAAGGATCCATTGGACAATCGTTTTTGGGTGAAGAATCTGAGCGATCGAAACTGTCCAAATAGAAATTTTCCCTCCTAAAATTCTTCGAACGAGTTTCGAGCGATTGAAACTGTCCAAATAGAAATTTTCCCTCCTAGAATTTTCCCTTCTTCGAACGGATGAGCTATTAAATTTTTTTAAAAGCGAAGGATCCATTGGACAATCATTTTTTCCCTCCTAGGATTCTTCGTTTTTTAAATCCGCTGAAAAGAGACGCACGAACGATCGAATGGGCTATTAAATTTTTTTAAAAGCGAAGAATCCATTGGACAATCATTTTTTCCCTCCTAGAATTTTCCCTTCTTCGAACGGATGAGCTATTAAATTTTTTTAAAAGCGAAGGATCCATTCGACAATCATTTTTTCCCTCCTAGGATTCTTCGTTTTCATATCCGCTGAAAAGGACGCACGAACGATCGAATGTGCATTTAAAATTCTTTTAAAAACGGACGAAGGATCCATTGGACAATCGTTTTTGGGTGAAGAAACGAACGATTGAAACTGTCCAAATAGAAATTTTCCCTCCTAGAATTCTTCGAGTTTCGAGCGATCGAAACTGTCCAAATAGAAATTTTCCCTCCTAGGAACGAATTTTCTCTTCTTCGAACGATCGGATGGGTGGTAAAATTTTTTTAAAAACGATCGAAACTGTCCAAATAGAAATTTTCCCTCCTAGAATTTTCCCTTCTTCGAACGGATGAGCTATTAAATTTTTTTAAAAGCGAAGGATCCATTCGACAATCATTTTTTCCCTCCTAGGATTCTTCGTTTTCATATCCGCTGAAAAGGGACGCACGAACGATCGAATGTGCATTTAAAATTCTTTTAAAAACGGACGAAGGATCCTAGAAGCGATCCTAGAAGGATCTTATCCGTTTCACGAGGTATCCCGAGTGTAATTGGTCGTCCGTTGTTGTGGAATGATCGCAGGTCGACGGAAGCGAACACGAAATTGGCGGAGGAAGGCGGGCAACAATCGAGGCTGTCCAAATCGAGCGTGAAGTCGAGCGACTTGTCGGGCCGTGACAAGGTGACAAGGAAATACAAAAATGTGACGATCGGCGATGGGATCTGTCAGAGTATAGACATACGGAACGCCGCGTCCGCGTTTGGAATTATGAAGGACTGCCGGGTGATAGAGGGCTTCCTCCAGATCGTCCTTCTCGAGAACAGCTCCGAGAGGGATTTTCAACCGATCAGTTTCCCTCTGCTCAGAGAGATCACCGGATATCTCCTACTCTATCGCGTCAACGGTTTGAAAACTTTGAGCAATCTTTTCCCCAATCTCGAGGTGATCAGGGGAAACATTTTGCTCACCGATTACGCGTTCATGGTTTACGAGATGCAGAATCTTCAAGAGGTGAGACACCCTTTTATCATTATTATTATTATTATTATTATCCTCATCATTATTATTATTATTATTATCGATATCGGTATTGTTGATCTTTTGCCTTCTCGAGATCACCGCGAGAAAATATATATATATATATATAAACGAATGAGACCGTCGAATAAAAGCTCGGTCTGCGAGAAACAAATATTGTCCACGTGGGAAGAGAGAGAGAGAGAGAAGGATTCATCGACGGCCTGGAAAAAACGAGCACACGTTTTCGCGTGTTATTTTTCAAAATAAATCAATATATGAACCGTTGGCAAATATTTTTCCATCGGAATACCTTTTTTTTTTTTTTTTTTTTTTTTTTTT